AGCACTGGGTGTTATGCACAAACAATGAATCATGGAACACTACATCAAAAACTAATGATGTAATGTATGGTGATTAACATAACAATAAAAAGATGGTAGTTTTATATGGTTCACCTAAGACATCTTTTCTCCCCATGTCTGGTGAGCATTATCTGGGCTTTCAGATGTGGACAGAAGAGCAGCTCTTCTTCTGGCTTCTCCCCATTTCTGAGCCAACAAGGAAGTGGAGAGGGTTAGTGACAGCTTGTCTCTCTCACTTAGCTTCGTATATACAGAGTGAATGTGGTAGTGTCTCCAGGGGGCTTTAGTTTATGGGCAAGTGTGCCAATTTGGGATTTTTAATTGTCATATCTTTTCAATAGCTCATCATTTTATTATTGTTCCTTCTCACCCCTTTCCTCGCCAGTTAGTTCCCCTTCAGTTTATTGGCCTCTGTACTTTGAGAAGGCAATCAAAACCATGCTTTTAAGAAGCTTCTGACAGGGTGCCTGGCTGGCTCAAATGGCTAAGCATCTGCCTTCGGCTCAGGTCATGATCCCCGGGTCCTGGGATCGAGTCCCACATCGGGCTCCCGGCTCCTTGGGAAGCCTGCTTCTCCCTCTGCCTCTCTCTTTCTCTCTCTCGCTCTCTCATGAATAAATAAATAAAATCTTTAAAAAAAAAAGAAGCTTCTAACAATCAGCATGTGGCTTCTTTCATTCCAAAGCTTCACTTGATAGTCATGAAGGATTGTCCTTTCAGACAAAGTTAATGGAAATAATATGTGGCAGGAGTTGTGCAAATCTGGTTTGTGAATGTCCAAAAATTCTTTTATTATTTAATAACAACAAATGTGGTACACCTTGTATTCTGCGCATAGGGTTCCCTTCTGGGGAAGTAGCCCACTATTTATGGGTGTGTGGACTCTGGAGGGATTTTGCGGATAGGTGAAAAACCCAGAGGTGCTCAGCATTGGTAGAGGAATATGAACAGAAATAACCTCTATGCCTGTCTTCTGTCACTCTGATCCATGCCTGCTTATTGCTTCCTGTGATTCTCTGCCTCTTGCAGTAATAAAATACGAGATCAGGAAGGGACCTTAAAAGTCACCTAAGACCATGGTTGTTGACTCTTGCAAATCACATGAACATAATGGATTGTCTACCCAGAAAACTGAAATTATAGAATCATTATATTTTGAGTTGTATCTTAGTAAGTTTTAGGCAGCTCTTACATAGAACCTGGGGAGTCTGCTGAAGATTCCATGACTTGGGAATCCTACCATCTTTTTTATACATAGGGAAACTGAGGACCAGGATGATATAGTGACTTGCCCCAGAATATAAAACTTTCAGTCACAAATTGGAGAGTGACTAAAACTCAGTTCTAGTAGCTCCACTTCTAGTTCTCTTCTCTTTCTTTGAGGTTGTTTGCCTCATTGTCATTCACTTCCTTACATGTGGAACCCCATAAAACCAGACTGTAGGAGGGGGTAGGAGAAATTGACAGAGGGGAGTTTTGTGGGATCCCCACTTCCAAACCATGCAACCAGGGAAGGTGGACAGAGACTATACCAAAAGCATTATTAAACTTGGTCAATTTGTTGAAAAAAAATTCAATTTTTTTAGACAAAATACCAAATCATTCATGTTTTTACTTTTCAGTTAGATCAGCTCATGCCCTACTGTAGCTTATTCTCTTTATTTCTGCATATTCACCAGCCCTGAAATAGTCTAATTCTTCTTTTATTAATTTTCTTCTGAAAGAAACAACCTAAAACAAAGTCTGTACTTTAAGGAAATTATTGCATTGACAATGTCATTTTCTGAATGTCAACTTTATCCCAGCACTGAACCAAGTTGCCAGCTCTGCCTGGTTAGGTTTATAGACAGAAATGTCACAGATTTGGAATGCTTTTCAATGCACAGATCACTATGCATTAAATCCTCCTCTAACTGGTTTTGCTTTTCCAGTCATAAATAAAAGAGAAATGAAGAGGAAAGATGCAGGTATAACCATTTGTGGGTCAAAGTTTATCTTATATCACACATGCAAATTAATGTGGCCTTCCTCTTTGGCATTCAACATGTCCTTGGAAGAAGGTGCAACAGTCCCTTCTTATACTTTGCCATTTTTTTTGTAGGAGTCCTTTGTTAGGAACCAGAAGACCTTCATGGCTCTCCTAATCACTTTCTATCTAAGTGACCTGGGATAAAGGAGGCCTCAGAGTCCTCCACCTGTAAAATGGGGGGAAAAAAGTACTCTTGTCTGAGGAGTTTGAGATCACCAAAGAGCCCCCCAAAGACAAACAAAACAAAAGAAAAACAAACTTCTGGGATACCCACCTAGGGTAGGCAGATTCACACTGTTTATGATAACAGGATGCTTCAAACCTTGCCTTTTTGCTTCATGGTTACGGTGAGATGCAGCTGAGTGCAGCTGACATTGCTCTTTATTTGGGAAGATCCTGGGCAGCATTTCCCAGATTCCAGGCTGTTATATATCACCTTCATTATTTTTGTCAGAATAATTCTCTCTAAATTGACTCAGACTTTTTTTTTTACTTGAGTAAATTTTTTTTGTCATAAAGGGAAAATTAGGGGGTGCCTGGGTGGCTCAGTCAGTTAAGAGTTAAGAGTTCAGTAGGTCTCTTCCAATATCAACATTCTTTGCTTCTGTGAGTCTAAAGACTCTGCATTTAAAAAATGAGTTAAGTGTGTGCCTTTGGTTTAGGTCATGATCTCAGGGTCCTGGGATCACCCCAGTTGGGCTCTCTGCTCAGCGAGGAGTCTGCTTCTCCCTCTGCCTCTTTCCCCTTCCACCCCCGCCCCCATGCTTTCTCTCTCTCTCAAATAAATAAATAAAATCTTTTAAAAAAGTAAAGGGAAAACTAGTATTGCTTATTATAACTCTTAAGTGACTGTAAAAATAAACACATAACTATGAAAATAAAAATTATTGTGTGCCTTTAAAATCGTTTTGCGTTCAGAATATGTTTACCCTTCTTTGTGATGCCCTGCTCTTGGAGATCTTAGAAACTGAATTCCAGCTTATAGGTCCTGGCTTGAGGATGGAGTAAGGACACGAAACTCTAAGAATTCGAAGCGATGGAGTGGTTTTATTTCCAGGTGCAAATCAGGGAGAGGATGATCAACAAACTTAGCCAACTCACACAGCAAACTGATGTGGGCCTTCTCTGGCTCCACCCAGCCTGTTCTCTCCTTCCCCACCTCACTTGGTCTCCTGGTTTGGACTCCATCTGTGCCTTCGGCCTCAGCCACGTGGTTTCCTTTTGGCCACCAGCACTCACAGTGTGGATTTCTGCTTTGGTCCCTGTTGTTTGCCCTTCCTCTCCTGAAAGACCAGGGGCTTGGGTTGCCCATTTTATAGGGGAATCCTTTGTCTTTTTACAGCTTCTCGCCTTGCCATGCCTTGACTCCATTAATGTCCCATGGGCTAAGTGCAGAGCACTCCTTTTCCCTCCCTCTTCCTCAGCACGAAGCAGGGCGAGGCCAGTTCACAGGAGGCAGGAATGCAGGGTTCCTTTGCCTCTGTCAGCACTTCCAGGACTCAGTGTGGGCCCGAGTTAGACTGACCTGTACAGGGCATTCTTGGTGGGGATTCTAATACCGAGAGGCATTTGCTGTTTTCTGCACAGTCAGATGAGGAACTGTATGTTTGGAAAAGGAGCTTGAAAAAAAAAAAACCCAGAATGATCAGGCTTTTCCTATGGATTCAGACTCCCTAGGTCTGTGTGCAAGTTTCTTGGCTTCTTATAAGCCTCAGGTACCTTCCTGTAAGTGAACTGCGGGAGAAGAATGGGAAACCCAGAGGCCTTCTCTGCTCTCTGATTCTTCAGTCCCCTCCTTCCTCTCTGCCTGGTACACAGCTGGGACCTGAATCTGCCTGGTTCTGGCAAGGGTGTCAGGTGGGGCCTGGACCAGGTCCAAAGCTTTTGTGCTGCTGCCAGAGGT